CTTAATCCACATCTTCAATTTTCCAGCCTAAACTCCTTGGGAGGCAGGAGGATGCCTTCAACTTCTGGGAGGTGGAGGAGTGGGGATTAACATTATAAGGTCTGGCACATAGAAAACTGGGATACGAACTGTGCTGTGTGAACTTGCGCAAGTTGCTTGGGCTCTCTGAGCGTCCAGTTTTTCAACTACAAAGATCATGCCCTCACCAATTTCCCAGGGTTCTTGTGAGGACTCAGTAAGATGACTCATGTCCCACGTTCAATCCTGTGCCAGGCGCGAGGTATGCACTCTGTCAGTGGGAACAGGGAACTGAGTTTGTGCACAGTACGACAAACCCTAGGCACCCTTTCAAACTTAATTCTGACAGAGGACTAGGGATCTCGGGAACCTAATTAAAGGCACATTGACATAGTAGGGCACCCCAATCCAAACATTTGAGCAAATCATTCTTCCTGGGCTGGGATCCACCCTTTCCCAAACCAGCCTTCCAAAGGTCTGGCTCATCCCCATCTGCTTTTCAGGAGAAGACTGGCCTTTCTGGATAGTCAGTCATTTTGAGACCAACAGAAGGGCCAATGGGCAAAGGCTCCTCTGGGCCTCTTTTGTCTGCAGCCTTGAGTACGAGCAGGTACACAGGAAGATGATACACACATATGGCTTTTCTCAGGGCTGACAGTAATGACTCACTGGAGGGTCACCAATGCCCTTGAGCTGCCTGGGGCAACGTGACTCACTGGATCTGCCTCTGGGCCTTGCTCCACAGCTGCCTGCCTCTGCCTCTCGCAGAACGTCCTCAACCCCTGAGACTCTCAGACAGGGGGCTTCCCCACTCCTACATCACTCTGTGTTCAGAGGGACCCAAGGAATCACATATTCTCACCCTCCACATCTCACAGAGGAGAAAAGCGGCCCCGTGGTGGCGATCGGCTTGCTCATACCGCCAGATTGTAGCAGACCCAGGATTTGAACCTGGGGCCAGGGTGCCCTCTGTGATACCCCCCTGGCTGCCACAAGGCCCTGCCTCTCGGCCTGCTCCTTCCCCGCAGGGCACTCCCTGCCGGCCTCAGGCTCCCGGTTCCTGAACACACCATGGCTTTGTGGTGGGACCGTTACTTACCCCTTTGAAATCTTGTTTCTATGAAAGGACAGAATGATCTCTTGGAGCCTGTGGTTCCCACTGACCATGATGTCAATTAACAATGTAAAAATGCTTTTATTTTTCTGTTAAAAGAGGCATCCCTTTCCCATCCAACTCCAGTTTTGTAAAGCAACAAAAGTACAGGTCATCAAGGATGAAGGGACCCAGAATTGTCTGGCAGAACGATGGCGCAATCGGTGACTTCCAGGGATGGGATCCACACCAGCCCAGGGAGCTGGAACCTGGCAAGACAAGCAGGGTGACAGGGCAGTCTGAGTTGGGACAAGGAAGAGAGAAGAAATGATTGTGCTGGGGCAGGCCCAGGAGGCGGGCAAACCAGGAAACCTATGGAGTGGATCTGGGCTGTCCCCCAAGCCCTGCCATTCCATCCCACCCCAGTCAGCAAACCCATGCCCTCTTGGGGTCCAGAACCCCGTGGTGCTCCAGCATGGGACTCTGGATCCACCCCCATCTGCCCCCACGCCCACCCCTGCTCCACCTTCCTACCAACCCCAATTCTCCTGGTGTTCAGGTGTCATTGGCTGGCCGGATTTTGATGTGTCGCCTTTCCCACAGGTATCCTCATTTTAAACAGGGCCTCTGGAATCTCTGGTCCCGCCTGTCAAGTACAGGCGGAGGGGCTGAATGGGGTGGGATGGAGTAAGACAGAAGATCCTGAGAGGGTCATGGAAAGACAGATGCCAGCCTGAAGGAAAACATAAGAGCTTGGAGTTCTCTTTCCTCTGGGGAGAAACAAAGACAGAATGAGTTCCGTCTCCCCATAGCCTCCCCGGCTCCAGAGATGGGATTTTCCTCTTCTGCCATAGATGTGGAAACTGAGGCCCAAAGTGCCAAGCACGGAGGCAGAACCGGGCTCAAAGGCTGAGAGTGCTAATCCCCAGGCCCGGCTCTGAGGAGCCAGATGAAAGGGGCTAGGAGCTGGGGCGAGGGCGTGTGGGTTGGAGGGAGGGGAGGCTCGGACAGACCGGCCTTGCAGGCTGCAGCAAGGGGCCAGGGGCCGCCCCTGGCCAAGGCCAGAGGAGCGAACAGGCAAGAGCCAGGGATTCCCAAGTCCCAAGAAATATAAATGACTCACGCTGGGGTGGCTCTGCAGGCCGGCCCAGCCCACATTCCCGGGCCTTTGTTCCCAGCCAGCCTGGGCCCGGCCTTAAAGGGCCAGCTCCTAGGGCACCAGGCAGGCCACTCGGCGCCACCCCCAACCCTTCTCTTTAATCCTGACCCTTCGCGGGGTTGCTCCTGGATGCTCCTGGACTCCGGGCTGTGGGTAAAAAGGGTGCCATCCCGCAGGATTTAGGGGTTCATCCAGTTGAATCCTCAAGCTGTAAGGGAGGGCCGCCAGGTCATTTCATCCATTCCTCTGCCTCTGCCCCTAAACTGGCCAAGAAGGATTAAGAAAAATCCTTGTCCTGCTTTTAAAAGATGTTACCACGAGGGGACCCTTTTCAAAGCAACTTCTTCCTGAGTCTCAAAGCATCTCCCCTCTAACACCAGCCCCCAGGCTGCGGCGTGGGCTAGAGGCCCCTCTCCCCCCGGGAGGGGGAGGTGGCGGGGGTAGGGGGAAGCGGGCAGGGGGTGTCTCTGTTATCGCCCCACCCCACCCCACCCCACCCCGGCCCCTGTCAGTATTGGTTTTTCCTTGAGCTCTCACCTGACGCACGTGTTTGCTGGGTTTGGGGTTGGCCCAGCCAGACTGGCGAACCCGGCTCCCCGTGCCTGGCCTCCGAGGGGTCCGGTTCTGGGCCAGTCCGGTCCTGCCCGCGGATTCCTCAGGGGGAAACACCTTCCCGCGCCAGCACCTCCGGGGTGCCCCCAGGAACTTCTTTGGACCTCGTACGCCACCATGTGGACACTCTGGAGGGGAGCCCTCTGCGGCTTCGAGGGGGCACCCTGCAGCTGTGCCTGCCCACTGCCACCCAACCAGACACTGAAAAAGCATCCTTAGCTAGAAAGTAGCACCGAATTAGCACAAATCAAAATAAGAGCAGACCCTCGGTTAGAGAGGAAAAGATAGGCCTGCACCCTCTTCTGCTCACTTTGATTCATACATCCTCTATGAAACAAGGGCTTTCTTAGAGCCATTTAACAACAGAAGCCTAGCAGCTCTGTTAAAACTTAGAGAGAGCAGCATTTTTTGTTAAAACTTGGGAAGATCTTTGTGTCCCCAAGTAAACCACCCCCTCTATCCCCCAGCCCCTCACACACTTTTTGGGCAATGCTCAGAACACAACACTAGAGCTTTGGGTTTCAGGTTTGGTCCACTGTTCATAGGCAGATTTTAAAAGAAGGGGTCTCCTTTGATGCTTACGCAATAATTTCAAAGTTTCTCAGATCTTGAACTGAGAGCCAGCTTTGGAGGGAGCAGAAAGTGCCAAGCCTGTAGCTACCGGGCAAAGTGGGGGGCGGGATAAGGAGAGGAGGGGTGGGTATGGCCGACAGGAAAATCCATGGGCTGGGAAGTCTGCTCACAGTCGTCCCCCACTCAGAAGCACTTTGAACTGTGGTGAAGCCTGGGGGCTGCTCCACAGACTCTATCACTTAATAATGTGTCCCTTGTACCCAGGACAAACCTGTACCAAATGGGCTAGAACCACAGGCTGTAGCTTTGGGGCCTTTGTCGGGCACTGGCATTCGCATCCCTGGCCCTGACCAACCAGGCCAGCGGGCTCCAGATAAACCCAGCATCCAGAAGGAGCTTCCAGAACCCTCTGGGACCTGCCCCATCCACTCAACCATCCATCCATCCATCCACCCCCTCCCACCACCACCCCCACCCCCGCCACTCAATAGAAAACCTCTGTGGTCATCTGCGGGGTCAGTTTCCCTACCTCCAGGCTGTGACATCTTTCAAAACTCCCCCTTCCTCTCCTTTCTCGCTTGCTCGGGTTCAGTCCCTTGTCATCCCGACCCCAAATCAGACCATAATCTTTCAAAGGGTCTCCCTGCTTCCGGGCCCTCCTGGGCCAATCCATCCTGAGTACCACTCCTAAATTAATCTCCCGACAACATACCCAAGTTCTCTTGAGTGACTGCAGATTGCCTGCAGCATCTGGTCTGAATTTCTGCACCCAACCCAGAGGCCCACTCCATATGTTCTGTATCATCACTCCAACTTTCAGAGATGGTGACTTCTTGAGAATACGAGCTTTGTTTTATTTTTCAAAATCAAATCAAATGTAAATTACATGTCAATAAATCCTAGCCAAATAATAATTAAAAAAAAAAGCAAATTAAATGAGGTGCTTTTCACTAGTACACATTGCTGTATGCATCCATACACGCATCCAGACATGCATTGTGATGAGCACGGCTGTGGTCTCAGTGCCCTTGGCCACGGGGTTGAGTGGGATCCAAACACAGCTCCTGACCCATTTGCTAAGCCATGCATCCCGCCTTGGGGCCACATCATTTTGGGAGAAGAGATGCCTTTCCCATTCCACCCAAGCCTCGAAGCTCCTCCTATTGTCTTTGAGATGCTTTTCTCACAGAGGAAAATCGACAGGCCTGAGGCCAGGCCTGGCTCAGGCAAAATAGAGAATGAAATGAGGGTGGTACCTCTTACAAGCAGCTGAGAACTCCTCCCCACCGCCCCCTACCCTTCTTCAGATAGATGTTGGGGACCGTAGGGAAACATAAATGACAACATACCATCATTTCAAAGTTCAAAGGTCCGTAAGGGCTTTCTAGTCCTCTTTTCTTTCAGGCCATAAAACTGAGCAGGGTGTTACTTGCCCTCAGTTCCCCACCCGGTTAAGGGAAAGCTCGAAAAGCTCTCTCCTCTTTCCAGTCTCGACTGCTTCCCTTCAGGAGCCTCCTAGGTCAGCCTGCGCTTTCTCTATTACAGCCTGGGAACCCCAGCTCCGGGAGGAGCCAGCCCATCAACCTGAACCACTATGCCACTAAGAAAAGCGTGGCAGAGAGCATGCTGGATGTGGCCCTCTTCATGTCCAACGCCACGCGTCTGAAAGCAGTGCTGGAGCAGGGACCATCCTCCCATTACTACACCACCCTCGTCACCCTCATCAGCATCTCTCTGCTCCTGCAGGTGGTCATCGGAATCCTCCTCGTGGTCATCGGTGAGGACCCTAGGCCCGGAGTGGGCCTCAGTGGCCCCTGGTGGGAAGAAAAGCCCCGACTGCTTCCCTGCGCCCCACCCCCCTGCTTTTGCCCACGCCAACTTCTCAACCGTCTGCTAACCTGGTGGTAGCCCTCCGCACCTACAAACGCCCAGCTAACAACAACTACATAGTGAGAGCAGGCTCCCTGTCCTACCTCCTGGTCTCCCACATAGTCGTCCCTCCACGATACCTGCTGAATGACTCTCTTCACTTACTTGTAGCAGAGGTCCTTATGGCCTTTTGTGTGAGCATGTATTCCCACTCTTAAGACCTGGTATAAATGCCCCAATCCCGATTTCTTGATGTACAGTGTGGATGCCGGCACACCGGTCAGTGAGGGAGAAGGTGGCTCAGCCCAATGCCTACCACCTCCCTTGCCTTCTGCCACACGGGGCTCCGAGGTGCACGAGGGAGGTTTCGGGCTGCGGCCCCGCGCTGAGCCTTCGCCCCCCCTCCCCCACTCGTCCACAGCGCGGCTGAACCTCAATGAGGTGAGAAAGCAGTGGCAGCTGAACCAGCTCAACAACGCTGCCACCACCCTGGTCTTCATCACGGTCGTCATCAACGTCTTCATTACGGCCTTCGGGGCACACAAGACGGGCTTCCTGGCTGCCAGGACCTCAAGGAATCCTCTCTGAACACAGCCTGGGACCCAGGTGAGGGAGGAAGGGAGGCCCCCGGGGCCAAGGGCCCCAAGTGACCCTTCTCCCAGCTCTGGGGGTTTGGGGTGGGAGCAAGGTCTTTGCAAGTAACAGGGACAAGATAGATCTGAGGCAAGGAGGGGGTCTGAGAGAAGAGCTTGGATCCGGGCCTGGGAAGGCCCCTCCTGCTGCTAACGGGGGACTCTTCCTCAGCAGTCAGGCTGGGGTTCTATAGCCTGGGATGGGTGGGAGGCAGTGTGGTTAGTGCTTGGCTCTGCCCCTCTGGCAAGAGGAAAGATGCAGTATGGGATACCTCCCTGGCACTGCCCAGCAGTCCTTGCTACTCACACTGCGGTCCGTGGACCAGCAGCAACACCAGCTGGAAGGTTGCAGGAAACATGAGCTCTCCAGCCCCGCTTCAGATCTCCTGAATGGGGACCTGCATTTGAAAAAGGTTGCTAGGGGAATTGTGTGCACAGTAAAAGTCTGAGGACCGCTGGTCTGGCCTGCCCTCCTCACCGTCTCTTCTCTGCTTCCCCTACAGGTCCCAGGTCTGGAACAGCTTCCGCCTCTTTCCTCCCCGCTCGGCTAGGCTGATGGGACACTTTCCACAGCCCCTGGGAGAGCTCCGAGAAGGGCAAAGGAGATGCCCTTGCTCCCTACCCAGAGCATCTGAATGAAGACGTGCAATTTTACTGGTCTAAGTGAATCCCATCTTGGTCTGGAGTCCTGAGCTCAGACTGGGGCACTGCCAACCTTGCTTTCTGGTAGCATCTCCCGCACCTTAAGGCGTGTCTACCTAAGGCCAAGCCTGCCCAGCTTCAGGACTTCTTAATCCACCTCATTCCTTCCCTCTGACCTATCCATTCCCTCGGCTCCAGGCCTCAGTTTTCCCTTTTTGTAAAATGGAATGATCTCTATCTATAAAGTTTTCTGCAAATCCACTATGAGTCAATATTTATGCATCCGGGCTGCACTCTGGATGCCCTCTCCAGCTGTGTTCTGGAAAAGGCTTGACTGCCTCTCCTCTAGGTCCTGCTCTGAGTCAACTTTCCTGGCTCCATATGCCTTGAGCTAATTACCATCTGCTACATCAATGGCAGATTAGTCAATTCTGGATTGATCCATGTATATGCACAATCCTTTTTGAGAACCTGTCATAAACCTATCCTAGCTTTCAAATTAGCACCTTCCCTTAGGCGTGTGTAAGGCATACAAACTCATTTTGATCTTTGCCTTGGCCAAATAGAACGAGGAAGATAAATTTGTACCTGTAAAGCATCAACCGGGCATCCCTAGCTCTAACAGAAATGATTTTTAGATTGTCTGCTACTTCACCACTGCTCCCCAAACTATCCTGGCCTTGTGTCTAGCTTTCTTCCCCCAGCGCTTCCATCAACCCTTCTCTACTGGAACCACCAATCTGCACTAACCTGCTGAGCAGAAAATGCCCCGTCTGCTCTCAGACGGTGAACTCCTCAGGCAGCTCCCCACAGGGCAGGCACCAAACGAATGGTAAATGGTGGAGGGTGGTGTGGGAGGGTCCTTGGCACATCCATCAGAGGCCTGACAACTGAGGGACAGAGATGCGAAACCTAGGTCCTCAGCCCACCCCTCTCCCATCTTTATGGGAGATGAGGAAAACACATGAGCCACTTTATTTTCTAAGAAGATGCTGTATTTAATGATTTCCCTCCCCCCACCCCCCGACACATTTCCCTACAGGGTAGGGTCCATACTAGGCCCTCCCCCTTAAGGCAGATGGTGTGGAGGTAACAAACGAAGGCAGGCACTGGCCAGGGTCAGAGGGGCCGTGAGCAGGGCAGGGTAGGCTGGGCTGGCTCCTGTCATTAAGAGGAGAGAGGTGGCAGAGCTGTTTGGGTTGGCTTGGGCCTACCAGTGCCACGGCCAAGGGTGACAGTGGCCCCAGAAAGCAAGCCAGCACCCCAGCCAGCCAACTGTAGCTCCCACCTATTCCCTACAGCCCTTTCCCAAAGGTGGTAGGCCTGAGCAAGGGCCGCAGGAAAAGAAGGGCCCAAGGGGCAGGTATGGAATCCAGAAGCCACAGCCCATTAACTGGAAAGTCTTTGTCCTTCCTGATTTCTTAAGAGTGGGGCAAGGGTTCTCTTCAACCCCCAGAAGGTTCTCAATGGGCTCCATTCTCCTAAATGCCAAGCGTGTGCTCTTGGCGTATGCAGGGCCCACTGGGTAGACGCTGAAGCTCCAAATGCTGTGACTTGGACTCTATCACAGCATGGAGCCTGGGCTCAGGGGACTGGCCTCCCGGGCCCTGCCGCACCCCCGTGAGTGCTTCCTCACAGCGGGGAGCCCCGTGCTCCCCTCCTTCGCTGGATGCTGGAGTGCCAGAGCCAGCGTCCAATGCACCATTGGTCAATTCAGCAGCGGCGGCGTAAAGATCCCCAGCCCCAAAGGCACCTGGGGATTTTTAGTGCAAGATTAAGTGCGTGATCATCAGGTGTCAGGAAGGGCAGCCAGAGACTACAAAGGCCAAGGGCTATCTTTCCTGAAATGGTTCCACTTTCCAGTTCCTCCTGGCCCCACTCCCCTCCAATTGGGGAAGAGATCTCAGGGTGACGCCCTTACCTACCCAAACCCACGGCCCTGCCCCTTCCCACCCTGTTCCCTATTCCTCTGTCTTGTCCACACCCCTTCCTCTTCTTCTGGGCAGGCTGGGGCTGGGGATCTCCCTGCAGGAGGCCAAGTCTGTGGGACAGCGGGGCTGTGAGGCCTCAAGTTTCCACTTCCCTTTCCTCCCTTCCTGCTGGATGGCCACACCCTGTTCCCGTCTAAGCCCAAGGCTTTCTTATATCTCCATCCTCTTTCCTCTCTGCTTCATGTTCTCCCCAAGGCTTTAGCCTACAGGTGGGCCGGGCCGGGGGCTTGCCCTCCCTCCTCCTCCACCGTGCCCGTCCTGCACCGCCTCTACGCCAGACACTGGGGGATGACGAGCCCACTGCCCGCCAGCTCTCTGTCGCCCAACCCCGCGGGGGCATTGTGAAGATGATGCCAGTCTGTACTTCCGGTCAGGCTGGAGTTAGCACCGCCGGCTGTTCAGTGGCTCCCTGGGAGAGATACGCGTGTCTCTGGAAGGCACGGGCTGGGAATAAAGCTGAGAACGGATCCACGCGGTGCCAGCTCCTCTGGTTATAAATCAGCTGCCGGGTCAAGGACCAAGGGACACGTAGCACTACACAGGAGCGGGTCTGAGGTACGCAGATGGGGACATGCCCTAACTGCATGACTCCATTCTCATCCTCATGACTCTCACAGTCAAGGCTGGGTCTGGACAGGTACAGTTTTGGTTTTCTGTTAGAAAAATAAAAACCCCAATAAAATATGTCCAAGAGAAGGATTTCTAGGTCGTGGTCACTACTCCCCGGGAGGAGCTGGAGGGGATGCTGAATGCACCTCACAGATAGGTCGGTAGCGTACAAACAGGTCTTTCCTTCCTTGATTGAACTGTGCCACCTTTGCCAGGAGCCGGTCCATCTCTGTCAACTGAGTGAACGGCCCTTCCCGGTCGTCCCTCTCCCAAGGTCCTCCCTTCAGCGGCCCCCAGAGTAGAGAGAGGGGCCTTGGCAGCCAACTGTGTGAGGCGACAGCTCTGGGTGGAGTGATGCCGTTCACTCTGAGGCCTCTCGGGGCCCAGCCATGGCTTCTCCCCCCCACCGCCTGCTCCTCCTCAGTGGCGAGCAGGGGCACTGGGAAGCCAGCGCAAGTCAAGGAGCGGGAAGCAGTCAGTCCAGCGGGCCGCCCCTCGGGATCACGGCATCTTCATCTGACGGCGGTTCCACATGCCTCGCTTGGAATGGAAGTGATGGAAGAAATTCCTGAGGGAGAGCCGTTCTACTTCCAGGCCCGCTTGGAGGATCCTGCATGAGGGAGGGGTAGGGTAAGTAACAGAAGCATAAGAGGCAACTGGGGACCCCACCTCCCATGTCTACATCACCCCCCGTCTTCCTCTGTTTACCCCCATGGAGCATGGGAGGAGGCCACGGTGCACGGAACATGGGCTTCGGAGCCAGCCAGCCTGGGTCTGAATCCCAGCCCTATACCGTGTAACGCATGTCACCTTTCAGAGCCTCAGTCTGCCAGTCTTTAGAGAGGAGAACGATACGCAGTTGACCCTGGTCCTTTCTTCCTTCGATGTCTTTCTCCCTTTCCCTCTTCTGCCCCCGCCCCTTCAACCCAAATCTCAGGTTATCGTCCTCTTTCCCTCCCCTTCCCTTGGCAACAAATTTCTTTCTTCTGTAACTTTTACTTATTAAAAAAGCTCTACCCCCAAATGTGGGGCTCGAACTCACGACCCCGAGATCAAGAGCTGCATGCTCTCTCAACTGAGCCAGCCAGGAGCCCCTCGTGGCAGCAAATTTCTTTTTTAAAAAAAGTAAATTTCTTGGGGCGCCTGGGTGGCTCAGTTGGTTAAGCGACTGCCTTCGGCTCAGGTCATGATCCTGGAGTCCCGGGATCGAGTCCCATGTCGGGGTTCCTGCTCAGCAGGGAGTCTGCTTCTCCCTCTGACCCTCTTCCCTCTCGTGCTCTCTATCTCTCATTCTCTCTCTCTCAAATAAATAAATAAAATCTTTAAAAAAAAAAAAAAAAGTAAATTTCTTGAAAGAGGAATCTCGTACCAACAGCTCCGGCTCTCTCACCACCCTCCCTCACCACCACCACCTCCTGGCCTGCCCACTCCTGCCTCAACACCCTCGTCTACCGCTTGCCAAGTCTGTGGCCTGTCCTGGGTTCTCCTCTCTCCTTCTTCCCAGGGACTATTTCCTGCTCCTTGAAACTCCCTTCTCCTGGGCTTCCAGGGCCCCAGGACCTCCTGGATATCTTACTGCTCTTTAATGACCCACACACTGTCTCTTTTGCTGGCCCCCAAGTCTTTCCTGACCCTTTATCTGTCTCTCTTGTCCATGCCCCAGCCTCAGCTTCCCTGCCAGGCAGCGGTGCAGGGGAGGAAGGCTCTGATCTGGGAGAACGCAGCCGTGTATCATATTCTCAGCTTGCGCTGAGAGCATCAGCACTTACATGCGTACAGTCACCGGCTTTTGCTTTACCCTGACAGCCCACCATGCACTCTGCTCTCCAGGCCAACCCTGTGACCTAGGTGGAGGCAGGATCATCCCCCTTCTAATAGACACACAAACTGCATTTCGGCCAGGCGAGTAATATGACCCTCCCGTGAGTGGCAGGGCTTCCTCTGAGTCCAGTGGTCAGGAATCTGCTGCCCCGCGGGCCCGGCCTCGGCTGGTCTAGCCCTACTCTCACCCTGTAGCCCCTCTCAGACGCCCTCCTCCCCGAGTCACCTGTCCAACAGCTCCCAGTCTTCCCCGCCCCAGCGGTCTCGGAACTCCTTGGTGTTCATGCCGCCGATTCTGTCCAGGTCCGACTTGTAGATGCCGAGCAGTCCAAACCCATTCACCTCCCAGTAGCCTGTGGCCAGACAAGAAGCCCCCATGAGATGAGCCAGGGGCCAGGAGGAAGCAACAAAGGCTGCTAGGCTGCATTCCCAGAGCCTTCTCTGAAAGACAGGGGACGGGATGCCTGACGCTGAAAACTGTCTCATGGGAACAAGTCCCTGCCTGTTCTGGGTGGAAGCCCCCCCCAAACTCAGGTCAGGGTCTGATGGAAGCTGCGGTCCTACCAGGAGGGAACTACAGGCCCTACAACAGGATCTCACAACGGCAGGCACTGGGGACACAGCTGAGCATGCTTTCTGTGTCTGCTTCCCTCTCCAGAGGCAGAGGGCCTGTCTTTCCATTTTTCTATCCGCACAG